CCCCCCCCCCCCCCCTCCCCCCCTCCCCCCCTCCCCCCCTCCCCCCCCTCACGATTAAAGCTGTTTTCGGCGGACCCAGGTAGTTCACGGTGACGGTAGGGGGTCGGCAGGCAGGCCGGAGGGGGGTAGTGCGTGTATATGTCGTGGTACTCTTGTATGTGTGGCTGAGAGAGATATCTACCTCCCTCGTAAATTAGGGATACAGCATAAGCGATTATTTCCGCGAGGCTTGGCTGATAGAGATAAGCCTCTCTCGTAAACTAAGGATGTAGTACCGATTCATTTTGCGGAGCCCCGTTCGCGGGGCCCCGCGGACCACGAGAAGACTTGGGGGGCGGTTTCGATGTTTCCTTCGATCGCCCGGCTGTCGCGGTGGATGCCCGACATGAGAACGCACACGCGCGCTCGATCGCGTACCCCTATATGTACCGCGCTACCATCAGTTTTTAACGTCTTTTTTTGTGTGTGGTGTGAGTATGTGTGTGTACAAAGTTGTTGCTCTGCCACCCAAGTGCTCCTCCAGGGTTGCGCTGTGCAGCAGGATGTCGTCGAGCCAGCGTTCGACGCGAGGTCTTTAGCTTTTCCAAGCCGACCGGTCTCGATACCCTGTCCAGCACCTCACACCACCCGTACGGGTCTTGTTGACGCGGACGACTTGCGTCGTCACAAGCTGTCATGTTCCACCACATAATATGAAGAGTGAAAGTGAACTAAATACTTGACCTACTTACAGCTTGTGCATCGTTTGGTTCCTACTATATTTAGTCGTCTATTCCAATGCGGTTCTTGCTGCGTCCATTTTAATATTGATGCGATCACCGCGATCGCTGCTGAGAATGACCCGTGCCCCCCCCCCCCGGGTAACGTACGCTTGTGACACCATGGGTATGTGCTGCCCTTCCTGCCTACACCAGGTGCGAGGGGCAGAGGCTCAGCGTGCGGCGGCGGAGGAAGCCGCGAGGGAGGCAGAGGCCAAGGCTTACAGTCTCAGTGCAACCGTAGAGGCGAGAAGAAGAAAAAGAAATCACAGCAGTGCAGTAACAGCAGTGCAACAGCTGAAATTAATATACAACACGGAAATACATAAGTAAACTACCAATTGAACGTTATTGCATATTTGTTGTTTGTTTGATTTAATTCATTGCTTTTTTTTTGCGTTTCGGAGGGAAACAGTTGGCATGTGGTACGGCAACACGATGGGACGTGGAAGAAGTGGTGACTTGGCCGCACCGCGCCGCGACCGTCTTTCACGGGACGAGTGCTACACATATCGCCGTCGTATACACCAGCACAGTTTTAGTTCCAGTGCCGCCACCAGCTCCAGCAGTGCCGTATCAGCAGAACCTGCGTCTCGTGTGCTTCACTCAATGCGTTCCCCTCTCTCCGTCTCTGTCTCTGCCTCACAGGTGCTAAAGAGCACCGCGGATTGTGGTTTGTCGGCAGAAGGAAGGCGCCTGACGACGAGAGAAATCGAAGCCGAGGTCACCGCAGGCGAGTTTTTTTTTTTTGTCTGCTCATCAGATGGTGCGTCTGTCACATTTTCCGGCGAGTTTTTCCGCACAGAAAGCAGTGTCGTGCGTGACATGTCATGCACAAGGTTGTCATCACACCAGGTCCGGTTTCGCCGGAGCTCGCTCGAAATTTTTTAAATCCGATTCTAATCCCCCCGAAAAAAATAATAACTACCTTGTGTGACACCCTTCTCCTGTGTGACCCGGGCTGGTAGCTGGTACGTCAAGCATATCATTACACCGAAAATCAAAATCATATGGAGGTACGCCAGCATTCCAGATAGGTGGGAAGAACACTCACATAGACTCTCCCGTGAGTGTCCCCTCACAGGGTCCGAGATCGTGGCATTTAGATGCATTTTGTGTTTTCAACCGCACTGAGACTGACGTCTTTTCGTTGGTCAGCCGGTTGTCGCGGTCGATTCTAACAACGAAAAAAAACACACACACACCTTGCCTCTCTGGTGTTGATGTGCCATGCGTGTGCATGTCGTGGTGATTCCTTCGCTTTCGGCGCGACACGTTGCTTTGTTTTTTTTGTTCCAGCTTACCAGGGCATTCTGCAGGAGATGGACATGGAAAGAGCTGACCTCCAGGAGCAGCTGATGGCGGTGAAAATGGAGAACAACATTGTGAGAAGTGGACGAGGGACGTATGTACATATTAGCCGATGAGCCGATGGTATTGTTCGTTTGGTTTGTGTTTTTCCGGTGTGGCTTGACGTCAAGAGAAGCAGGCGTGGCGTCTCCGTTCTCCCGCTTGTGCAGCTGTACTTGGTGTGTTTTGTCTCCCTCTACTATATTTAGCTAAGAAACAGAGAGTGCTCCACTTCTCGCAAGGGGCGACGCGTCGTTAACAATCCCCGCCTTCCCCCCCTCTGTCCTCTCGAGGATGCGTGGTCAATGGTCTGACCGCGAAGATATGCAAAGCATGAGTACCCCCCCCGCCCCCCCCCCGGATATCTCTCAATGTAGCTCCGGTCCAGAGCCACGGGCGTCCCTCGCACCCCGCGGACGCGTTCCTTCTCGGGAGCGACGCTCACGACCAAGGACAAGGAGCTGGAGCAGGACGGAGACCTCATGAGAGAGTTGAGCCCTCTGCCGGTCCCCCGGTCCTTCGAAAGGCCGAAGGCCAGGGGCATCTCTATGGCTCGCGACTCGGTCGGGAGCGGGGATGAGGGGCCAGCGAACGGTAGCGGCGGGGAAGTTTCGAGGCACCGGCGGGGGGGCGGGGGGGGTTTCCTGAGGAACGTGTTGGGGCCCCGCGTGAGATTCGTCCAGCTGGACGGCGCCGGGGGCACCTTGTTTGGAGGTGGGAAGGGGAAGGGGGGGAGGGCGTACTGAGTGTTTTTTTTGTTGATGATGTATGACTTGATTCCGTGAACCACACCTACATGTCGTTCGAGACGGAATGCCGCTCCAGCGGGGGGAGGGGGGGTTCCGTGAAATACTTCGGTGCGTTATTTTTCCGGGGGATTTGTCTGGTGCCCAGCGGGCTAAGATCAAAGTCTTTGGGGTGAGCCGTGTGCGCATGATACCAGAACCCAACGACATCGGCCGCATCTTACCCAACAACTACGAACGAACAGCAGGCGCAGCTGGAGGCAGCCCGCCGGTGGCCTCACCATCATCATCATCATCATCATCATCATCATCATCATCATCATCATCATCGTCGTCGTTATCATCGTCCGCACCGCCGCCGCCTGCGGAGAAGCTCCGGGTGGTGGCGAAACCATCCGCGGAGCCTCCGGCGCCGCCGTCGAAATCCGCGGGTGGTGCGCCAATGGGTACGCCGGGGGGGGGGGCACTGCCGTTGGCCTTTCCTTGGTCGAAGGAACTCGTTCTTTGGTTCGGCAGGGTGTCCCCCGTCCCCC